TCCTCTGGGCATCTCCAGTTGGCTGGTTTTTCACCCAAGGTCTCTCCATCCCTGAGCTCCCTCTGTACCCTCTTTCCCCACCAGGTGCGAGTGTATGACCTGACGCAATACGAGCACTGCCCAGACGATGTGCTAGTCCTGGGAACAGATGGGCTGTGGGATGTCACCAGTGATTGTGAGGTAGCCGCCACTGTGGACAGGGTGCTGTCAGCCTATGAGCCCAATGACCCCAGCAGGTAGGGGTTGTATGGCGGCAAGGGGATGACGATGGGGAAGGAAGGGACAAAGGGAAGCAATGCTTGGGGACCCACGTGAGGGCCTGTGTCTCTGTCTTCCCATATACATGTTGGTACATGAATGTGCACATGTGCTCCTGGCAGGTACACAGCTCTGGCCCAAGCTCTGGTCCTGGGGGCCCGGGGCACCCCTCGGGACCGTGGCTGGCGTCTCCCCAACAACAAGCTGGGTTCCGGGGATGATATCTCGGTCTTCGTCATCCCCCTGGGAGGGCCAGGCAGTTACTCCTGAGTGGCTCAGCCCCGAACCTCCCACCACCATCCCAGCCTCTCCGTGCTTATCCCTCTCCCAACCCAAATTCTGAAGTTGTCTCTCAGACCTTCTTTAGTGGCAATTTAACTGAAGAGGTGCCAGTTAGAGCCAAAATTATAGCTCATGGCAAATAAACCGGATGGATAAAGGTGTGTCTTTTTATTTACTTTGCCTGGAAACTCAAAGGTAAGGAAACACTATCTGGGGTGGTGGGAGGAAGTCCAGAACTGTCCTACAAAATGTAGTGTTCCCCAGCTCCTTCTTCTGCCCTCTGCTCTTCCCGCTGCAAGCACTCTCATCCACTTCGTCCATATGCTGGCATCTTCCGAGTCACAACTTCCAGCCCAGACCTTTCCTGAGCTTTAGACCTACATGTCCCAGTTGTTTCCTGAACATCTAGACATCCCACAGGCATGGCAACTCAAAATCCTCCAACTGAATTAATCATTTCCCCCAAAACATGTTCCTTCTCCCAGCTCATCATCTCAGGGGGCGCCAGCTCAGCTACTCAAATCAGAAATCTTGGAGGTGGTTACCTCTGGCTTCCATTTCTTCCTCATCAGACCTGTCCACAGTGTGAATTTGAGTTGGTTATTCCTTTGAGAGAATACTTTGGTGGCTCCTTACTGCATCTACGCCAAAATTGACACTCAGCTCTTGAGCGTAGCATATAAGGACCTTCCTGATCTGGCCACTGCTTCCTTCTCCAGCCCTGTCTTTCCTCACTATCACCACCCTCTCGGGGCTTCCGTTGTTCTGTTGGCCTGGCGTAGCTCCAGTTCATTTAAAATCTACACCTCATCCTCAACACTTCACTTGTCCTTCCACAGCTCACACACACCCCGACTACAGTGTTCACCTCCTGGACTGTAACTGTCCAAATGAGGAGTTGGGATGGAGCAGCAATTAAGAGCGGGGGCTTGAGGGTCCTGCTCTTTGGGTCCTGATGCCAAACCCAACACTAGGTCTTCAATCTCTCTGAGCCTCAATTTGCTTTTCAGAAAAATGGAGATAACAGTACTATTTCATGAGGTTGTAAGGACTAAAGTAGTTCATGTATGTTGAGCCAGGTCTAGGTAATAAGGGCTCAATAACTGTTAGTGATCCATAAATTCTTTGAAGGCAGAAATCTATTTGAACTGAGCACATTGCTCAGTTTTATTGAGCCATTTAAGAGGCCTGCGGACCAAACTGCTCTGGACCCGTTTCTTCATTTAGCAAATATATGAATTGCTCTTTAGACCTTTAAAGTCTATATGACTTCTAACATATGTTTCATTCAGCAAGTATTTGTTGAAAACCTATTATGTGCCACACACAGTGCCAGACAGTGGAAAGGGACAAGTTGGAGGATTATAGTGGGCAGTGGGCAACAGGGAGAGAGACCAGTTTTGGAGTCAGACAGGCCTGACTATCTGAGTTCTTGCTTTGCCACATACAAACAGCAAAATTTGGGCAAGCCACTTAACTTTCCTGAGCCTCAGTTTCCTTACAGGTAAAAAGGGATGGGTATACTTAACCCAAAGACTTACGATGAGTATTGAAAGCTATGTACTCTACTGAGCACAAGCTAAAAAAATGTTGGTAGACTTCCTCATCTTCCATCCACCTCCTCAGGCACCTTTCAGGGAAGGAGATACACATGTGCGTAATACCCAGTGCACAAGTCAGACCCAGCTGGGTGTCCCTAGCAGCACAGAAATAATACAGTGGGGATGGGAACTGAATTCCCAGCTGCGGATCCAAAAGGATTTCCAGGAGTGCCCTTTGAGGGATGGGTAGGAGTTGGAAATTCCAGGAAGGAGGAAGGAAATTGTGAGGTGGAACCAGGTGCCATGAATCTCAAAGGTTCTGAAAGGTCTCCAGGGCTGGGACATGATGTTGGGCTGTACTTACTCCGCAATGATTGTAGGAGCAGAAAGTGGGCATCTTTCCCGGCCCCTTCTTGGGCGTCCTTTCCCAGTCCCGCCTCCCGCGAAGCCCCAGGTGGTGTAGGCGCGGGTGGTGGGTTGGCCACGGGAGGGCAGCAGCGGCCCTTTACTGACCCCACCCCGAGCGCCTCTCAACTTTCTCGTCGCCGGTCCGCCTCTAGGAGCTGGAAGGTGGGGCAGAGGCAGAGTCCTCGGGGGTCCCGCTCGCCGGGCCTCGCCCCGCCGCCCACTCCTCCACAGTCCAGGCATCTCCCCGGACTCCAGGGGCCGGAGCCCCAGACCCCGGGCCAGCGGCTCTGCGACCCGCAGGGACCGTGGGCGGGGGCCGGGGGCGGGCAGAGCCGAGGGCAGCGCGGCCCGCCCCTCCCCCTGCCGGGCCCGCCCCTCCCC